GTACAAATACTATTATTTAACCTTAAAACTCACTTTAACACCCACATGCTTAATGATCTTCAAGGAAATGTTAAATGACGTATAGATTGTGGCCAGATTGGACATCTTTATTCAAGTCGTTTATTGACTTTTTCTGGATGTCAACGGACGTCCAGATTATAGCCAGTATGAACGTCTGTTCTCGACTAGTTCTGGATGTCAGTGGACGTGTATATTGTGGCCAGATTGGACATCTTTATTCACGTCATTCATCAACTAATTCTGGATGTCAACGGACGTCCAGATTATAGCCAGTATGAACGTCTGTTCTCGACTAATTCTGGATGTCAGTGGACGTTTAGATTGTGGCCAGATTGGACATCTCTATTCAAGTCGTTTATTGACTTTTTCTGGATGTCAACGGACATCCCGATTATAGCCAGTATATAACGTCTGTTCTCGACTAATTCTGGCTGTCAGTGGACGTTTAGATTATGGCCTGATGGGACATCATTTCTCAGTGTCATTAATCGACTAATTCTGGCTGTCAATGGACGTTCAGATCATGGCCTGGACGGACGGACGTGATATCAACCTGTTTTGTATGTCCACAGACGTCGCTTGCTCAGTGGGTGCTTTCCGTGCTTTGAGGGGCATCATTATGGATAAAAATCTCATCCGTGATCTAAGGCAAATGTCGCTTTTTAAACACACAGGTATGCCCTCACACTAAATGAATTGTTTTTTAAAAATCCTTTATTTGATTATCAAAATGATAGGAAGTTCACTGCTGTGAAAATTAGTAGCACTATTCTCAAGTTCTATTGCACTAACAACAAAGGCATAATAGCAAATGTAGTACATTAATCTTTGTATCCCATCTATCATTCTAAATGGCTATTTCTTTTTGAGTAATGTATTTCAATTGTACACTTGCAGGATCACTTGAAGTCTATCACAATGTTACACTCAAGTATGCACCAAAGCGACTGCACTTCGGCTATGACTCAATGAGGGCCCGCACTGAATTAGCCATCATGGACCACAATATGAATGTTGGCCGGGAACTGAAAAAAACGCAAGAAGGTAACAAAATATATATTTGCCTCTGATTATATAACTCTACTGTACTGTACCCAACTGTTTATTGATTAGTAGAGTTGTAAGTTTGATTTACAGGCTCAACCAGCAGTAACATTTATTATAGTGGAACAGGTGATTATGGTGACCTACATTGTGGGAAATAATTTATTTATCAATACTTTTGTTTGTGTTTGTTAGGAGACCCTCAATTCAAGTACACCTACACCAAAGCAAGCCATCAGTGGGTGGCCAAACCCATCTATGAAAAAACATCACAGGCTTTTAGAAAAGACCTTATGGAAGCGGTTTTGAGGATGAGGCAGGAACATACTCTTGAGCATAGGCCCCGTCCTCGATCAGGCCAAAGGCGTTTATTGATGAATATAGCCCCAGTTTCAAGGCCAGACATATCAGAGATGCAGTCACAAAGACTATCACGCTTCAAGCCTTACTAAATTTAATACATTTTCTTACGGTGAACCAGGCCCCTGGAACCTCCGAGAGGGTTGGGTTGTTTGTTGTGTCCTTCACAACCTTTTTTACCCCCAGACCTGTTTGCCTGCCTGTAAATTTGGGTAACTTATCACATTTTAAACATACTTTTGTATATAGTTTTGACAATGAATAAATAGAAGGACAAAAAATGTGGTGATTGTGTATTGTTATTATTTTAATAAATAGTTGTTATGAACATTATGTATAATATTTGCACTGTGAGAAACAATTAGGCTATTTACATAAAATAATCACTAGAGAATCCTTGAAAGTTCTTCTGCTTCCTGGAAACCTTTGTAAATTCCGCTGGGGGAGGGGTACTTATTTCGTATAGCTGTAACAACACAGCTTGGCAGAACTCTTCTTTGTTTACGTCCAAGACGCTCTCCTTTCAGTCCCCACTCCAGAACCACCCGGTAAGCCACAAGTCTGCACTGTCTGGGGAGAGGGAGGGCAAGAGGTTTTTCAGTCATTCATGCTGATCAATGAGCAAGACATACAGCTGGCGATGCAAACTAAAATCACACAATAATTGCTCTATATATCAGAAATATTTGCACTGATTTAAAACATAACTTGTCTAGTGTACTTACTCAGTAGATAACTGTCCATTTGGTCCCTCCGGTATGGGTCGCCGCCTCCAATTGATTTTCGGGACATGGAAAATAGTTTCAAGTACAGCCTTATTTATTAAAGCGGGGAAATCTTCAGACTGTACAAAACAATGGTTCTCTTGGGTGTCGCGACTCAAAAGGTCCCACTCCGTGCAACACAGGCACTCCTGTTCGGTGTCCATAGCTTTACAATGTCCGCAAGTACACCACCAGTTTCCAGAAATACGAGGCTGTGTTGCGGCATTGACCACCGATAGCTCTCTGTCTCTCGCAGCCCTTTCACGGAGCTCCTGCAGCTCTTCGTCTGTATATTCCGGCTCGAAAAGATA